TGAAACAGCCTGGAGCAAGACTTGGTCTTTCTCAGGGCTTCTTGGTCTCCTGTAGAGTGAGTTTGAGCGGGCAAAGGTGGGCTGCACCGCAGGGAAGGGAGGACAGGCCTGGCTGGAGAGTGTGCCTGGTGGTACTTCTAGGAGACAGGATTGCCCCCAGCCCCCTGTCTCCTCACAGAGGGTGACTCTGGGGGACTTCCTTTCGCCCTTGTGTTTCTTCTCCATTTCTACCCCTTTCTTGGCCACCTCCCTCACTGTCTTCCATTCCCCCCAGTACGACAGTCTAGGACACATTTATTGAATGGTGCTGTTACTGTTCTTTGCAGTTAAGAAACCTTGTTTAATCTTTCTCCTTTTTGCTTCCTGCTGTTATGAAGGGCCAGGCTGGCCTTCCCGGTGCCTTCTGAGGATGTTTAGACTGAGGAAACAAAGCAAAGCGGGGAGATTTGCTTAGGAGTCCTGGTCTTGCCCCATCTCTCTCTCCAAATGAACCAGAGACACACTGGTTTGGGAGGCAGTGGGTGTGCGAGCTGGATATGGCGCTTGCCCAGCTGGTTCTTCTTCCGCATTTGACTGTTGCTCAGCGTGTGTCTGTCCTTCCTTATGGCAGAGATCCCTGGAGGAATAGAGAGGGCAGTGACAGGAGCTGTACCTCAGAACGCCTTCCTGAGGTTCCAATATCAAGAGGACACTGTTAGCTAATGCTAAGGCTTTCATATTAGTGACTGACACTGTCTGGGGGAAGAGGGGCAATGGTATGTATCCCAACAGAGCCCACAAATGGACTGGTTGTACCTTTGTCAATACTGAATCAAGAGCCATAAAATATTTCATCTTCTCTAATCCAATAATTCCACTGCTGGGACTGTGGTCAAGGAAAGAGTTGAAAGTAAGACAAGATAATTATAAGTATACCTAGTGCTCAGGTCTTGTTTTCTAAATACTATTATCCACAGTTAGGTACCAGAGCTCCTGGGAAAAATCTCTCATTCAGATTTGGGGCACGGAAACCTCTCACTTTCACTGTCAATAAGTAAAATGGTGCTCAAAGGATGAAGAGTTTTGAATGAAGAGGTAATGAATTCACTTTGGCTTGAGTTTGGGGCACCTGGGAGATACACAGCTGATGTTCAATGGAGGCTGCACAGACATGGTTGTGGAGATATATCTGTGTAGACATGCAGGTATAAATATAGACATGTACATATGGATAATAGGGCTGAATAGTCCCATTACACCACTTTGCAGAGAAATTCTTTCAGATGCTTGGTGAACATGTGTATTTCTGGGACCTACCTCAGGGAGCAGGACAACTGCATGTTAAGGAAGTCTCTAAATTACCCTTTGTGCACATATCAGTGTAAGAAATATTTGTTTAAAAGATTGCAAAAATGCTAGAAGCCATTATAAGATTGAGACTATAGAGAGGTCATAGGTATCTCTGGATAATGCAGTGCACAGAACCAGGAAACAGAATGTTTTACTGCAGATCCCTGTGTCATGTTGCTGAGAGGGCAGGAGAGTTACTGCAAGCATAAATGTAAAAAGAGAAGCCCTAAAATAACAGAAGAAAATAGAGGTAAAGTTTTACCCGATCACAAGATAGAGGACTTTGTAAGCGTAAACGCAAAAGGAAAAAACAAAGTATTGCCACATTTGAATGTTATATACTTCAGCAGGCAAAAGATATCATAAGAAAACGTTAATATAAGAAATGTGGAGGGACTTCCTTCATGGTCCAGTGGTTAAGACTTCACCTTCCAATTCAGGGAATGAGGGTTCGATCCCTGAACTGGGAGCTAAGATCCCATGTGCCATGTGGCCAAAACACTAAAACATAAAACAAACAATATTGTAACAAATTCAATGATGACTTTTAAAAAATAGTCCACATCAAAAAAAAAATCTTAAAAAAAAAAAGAAATGGAGTAATCCTGTGGCACAGATGATCAATTAATGTCATTAATATGTAAACTTTATATAATCCATTCAGGAAACTATGACTATCGTAGTAGAGAAATGAACAAACACATGAACAGACAATTCCCAAAGGAAATACAAGTATCAATATATATGAAAAAGTGAATATGAAATACATATTAAGCAAAAATGAAATGCCTTTTTTTTTTTCAGATTCCCTGTATAAGTGAGATCATGTAGCATTTGTCTTTCTCTGTCTGATTTGTTTCACTTACTATACTGCTTGAAATGCCATTTTTAACTCCTCAAATTGGCACAAAAAAAAAAGTAACGATTTGGTATAGAGAGGGAAATGAGAAAAGTCTTCCACTGTTAGTATAATGTATTTGGGCAATTTTTCTGAAAGTCATTTGGAAGTATAGATCAAAAGTTTAAAAATATTCTTACCCTTCAAAAACAATTCTGCTTCTAGGAACTCATCTTTTCAAAATTATGTAAAATGATGTCCCTTTTAGTATTTTTGGTAATATCAACAAACTTGATGTCCAACCACAGAATTTTGGATCAATATATTATGGAAGTCATATAATGCTGCGTTTTTGAAAGCCTTTGCAAAGCATGCTTTAGTAAAGGGATTCCACATTTGGATGTCAGACAATAATAGAAGTGAGTGAAGTAGTCTGGATATAAAATGAAGACATGGAGAAGAGAACTATTTCACGTTCCTAATTTTTTAAAGAGTATAAGTGAAATTATAAACAGCAGCTGACAGTCTAAGTTGGAGAACCATAGGGCACAGTGAGAACTGCAGTAGAGTGGAAGCACAGTCCTATCACACAGGATCAGCCGAGCTCCACGTGTCTGAACACCCTGTGAGCCAATCAGATGTATTTATTGGCCACCAATTTACAACCTTTGCTTTCAAGCTTTTGTTGGCAAGAAAATGTTTATAATTGCTATATGAAAAAAGTAGGTTCTGTAAGAGTAAATATATAGTAATAAATGCATAATCGTAAATGTAGTATATCATAGTATGATATTGAGTTAGATAATATTTGTGTATGTATGTGTGTGTGTGTACATCTTAATATATGCACAGAACAAAGCCTAGAAGGAAACAAGCCAAAATGTGACTTTATGTAGGTCTTAAAATCACAAGCTGCTTTAATTTTTTTCTTTAATATCTCTGCATTTTTAATATTTTCCATAACAAATGCATACATATTGTTGTGCAGTTGTTCAGTCGTGTCTGACCCTTTGTGACCCCTTGGACTGCAACACACCAGACTCCTGTGTCCTTCACTGTCTCCTGGAGTTTGCTCAATTTTATGCTCATTCAGTCAGCGACGCTATCTAACCATCTCATCATCTGCTGCCCCCTTCTCCTTTTTCTTTCAGTCTTTCCCAGCATCAGGATCTTTTTCAATGAGTACATATTACTTTTAAAAACAACTGTACCCACAAAAGTTTATTTTGAAAACACCTAGGTTCAGTTTTTTGACACTCAGGAAGGATGTTCCTGAAAAGCACAGATGGAATCCTCCTCTGGCAGTTGTATTGTCAGCTCTTGACCTAAAACTGGGTCTGGTAGCCTGGTTGTTGCTGTTGGTGTTTTTAAAATGTTCACTGATTGTTGGCAACCTTGTGTTCATTCATTACCATTGCCGAGAAATTTATGGAAGTGTGAACCAGTGAGAGTTTACTTGTTCTAACTTTTGAAAAGTTCTGTTTCTTCATAGATAGAGATGTACACTTTAAAAAGATAACTATACAAATATATACTATCTACAAACCTATATAGGTATAGATAGATATATACTGTCTACACCAAGCGCTGTTAAACAGCACAAATCCATGCACTGTACTTCAGTTGTTCAAATGTCCTTATGAAACCGGTTGAAAAACTTGCTGTTTATTTGTGTACACGGGCAGTCTTAAGCATCCATAAGTTGTCTGTTTTCCCCTAGGCTGGGGAACACTTTGGAAGTCAGACCAGCAAATCTCGAGAATGCTCATAGAGAGTTGCAAACCTGTGAGCTCCTTTATTCCGTTCACAGACTTCCAGAACAAAATGGATTGCTTCACAATTGTGAAGGGGAAAAAAAAAGAATAGAAAAGAAGAAAAGAATGTGTTGGTTTTGTCTGCCGTTGGTTTGAGTAGAGGGAGTTTTGTTTTTTTTTTTTCTTTTTTGGATGAAAAGTGGGATCTTAATGGGCATTCCCAGTCAGCCGAGGCAGCCTCTGAAAGCTCCTCTTGTGAGAGGAACCCGAGATAGAAGGATCCATTGTTTCGCCAATCTGAAGTTATCACTCTTCCCTTTATCCTTTCTTTTGGACTTTTTAGTGTTTGCTTTATCAGAATATTTTAATCCCTACTGTGGTGACTGGTGCAATTTATCTCATTAAGCCTCTCCTGTTTTCTTCTGTTTACATGACTAATATTATTATGTTTTATGGGGCTTATACCAACAAGCCGCTCCTTTGTCCCATTGTTTCAGCTCTAGGTCAAAAATCAACAAACGAAGTTTTATCTTTCCAATCTTAGACCTCACCTACTTGTCATTTAGTTTGTACAGGTTGCATGAAGAGCGTGTTCCTTTGAAAACAAAGCAAGGATTCATTTTTATGACCTAAAACCAAACAATTACCTTTCTCAAAAGGTCCCGGTCATCTCTTTTTATGAGTGTAGAGTGGCGGACTCACCTTATGAGGGGGAGAAAAAATAAGCAGATACTTCCTTGTGGATTGAAAGCCTAAAGTCCCCTAGCAATAATGCTCTGCTTCCTAACTTGTCTATCGTTCATAGTGTATGGAGTATCCTAGAAGCAGGGAACCTGAGCACTGGAAGGTGGCTGGTGAGGTTATCTCATCCAAACCCCAGCCCTTCAGCAAGATTACACCCAAGCCGGGCTGAGCCACACTGGAGGAGAATCAGCCTTGTTTTAAAGGCATATGAAGGAGAGCCTTCGTTCAACCAGTCGCATATTTGAAATGCTCTGTCAGAATGTTCCTTCTCTAAAAAAAACAGTCTAATAAAAGCTTAAATTGTCATTTCCTCAGTTCCTCTTTTTCTTTTCCAGATTGAAAACAACTGGGTACCATCCTCAGGGAATCAGCAGCAGTTTAATGAACAGTAACTTCCTCCAAGGCAGTGATTCTCCAATGTTAGTGCACGTCAGAACTGCCTGGAGGCTTTTTAAAAGCTCAGATTGCTGGACCTCCAGAGTTTCTGATTCGTGAGAAGGAGGAAAGCTGGAGAATTTGCATGTCTAGCAGGTTCCCAGGTGATGCTGATGCTGTCAGACCAGGAATCCCACTTTGAGAACTGCTGACTCTAGGAACTCGAAAGGAGAAATATGAGGATAATTAAGAAGCAGAAACAAGTGAAGTAAGAGCAAGTTAAACAAGTTAACGTCTACATGGAAAATGCTAAACGCCTATCAGATAAGTTCTTTGCTGTCAGGCAGAGTCCAGTGGGGAAGGCTGACCACGAGCAGTAATTCAGGATGTTAGCCATTAACCCAGAGATCTGCGGGAGCAAACTGAGGAGCCCAGTGTTCTGGCCAGGTGGGGAAGAGGCTAGGAAGTCTTCCTGCAGAAAGGGAGGCCTGAGGAGCAATTGCTGGGTTGACTCTTTAAAAAGGGCAGGTATCCAGACAAAGGGAGGGCTTTCCAGCAGAAGGAACTAAAGAGGAGTTTGTGGACTTTTCATGGAAATTTTCAAGCCATCCGATTTTCTCAAAGGGGAGAGAGGCCAAAGAGGTGGTGATGATAATCACAGAGGTAGGCAGGGGCTAGATGAAGAAGGAACGTCAGAGCTGGTTTAAGGAGTCTGGCAATATTCTAAAGACCATTATTTGACATGGAATATAAAGAACAATTTAATAAGGCTCCATGGACCTCGGAGATGAGAAGAGAGTACAGAACACAGTTATCCCTAATCTTTGTATTTCTTTCTCTGTAGTTAGGACTTCTCTATGAGGCTTACTCTGGTTTGCAGCTGATGTCAAAGTCTTGCTAACTTTCTAGCCTAAGTGTGAACAAAATTCCCTTTCTTTTTAGTTTAGTTGAGAGCATTTGGAGTTTCATAAAGGGAAATTTGTAAAGACACTAGGCAAACATAAAACCAAAGTGAGTAGAATACAGAATTTTGGTCTAGAGATAAACAGACCAGCTTGTCTTTCACTAGCTATACAGTGTACTGCACGTTACTTAACTTCTTGTACTATAGTTTCTGTGTTTAAATAGAGACTAATTCCCTATCAAGATCCATAGATCTAAGTAGTCTGGCCCCTACCTGCCTTTTTCAGCTTCATCTTGTGTCCACTGATCTTATTCTTTCTGCTCCGACTGCATAAATTTGCTTCAATCTTGTGTTTTTCATGTTCGCTCTACCACAGTGCCTTTGCACATACTCTGTCTTCTGTCTGGAATAGTCTTGTCTGCCTCTTAAGTAATTCCTAGATCTAGCTGTAAGGTCCACTCCCTCTAGGAAATCCTTGATCTCTCTGAGTAAGTAAAAATCCCTTCTGTTTATAGGGGTTGTTTTTTTTTTAACTATGAGGAACTTATATGATAACACTTAATATTGTTATTTGTGTCACTCTTTGCTTAATGTTTCTCTTCTCTTAAACTAGGGGTCAGCAAACTATCTCCAGCTTTGGCCTGCAGTCTGTTTTTGTAGATAAAATTTTATCGAGGGACTTCCCTGGTGGTCCAGTGGTTAAGACTCTGTGCTTCCAGGGCAGAGGGCCTAGATTCAACCCCTGGTGGGGGGACCTGGATCCTGCATGCCACAATTACTTTTCATGCCAAAACTGAAAAAAATCCCTCACGCTGCAATGAAGATTGAAGATCCTACACACCTCACCTAAGACCTGGTACAGCCAAAGAAATAAATAAATATATACATTTTTAAGTTTTACTGAAGCACAATCATGCCCACTTATTTACATATTACCTGCAGCCACTTCTGTACTATAGTAGCAGAGCTGAGTTGCAGCAGACTTTATGGCTCAAAATGCCCAATTACTCTGGCCCTTCATAGAAAAAATTTACCAAGTCCTGTACTTGACTAGAGTCTCCAGGAGAGCAGGCACAAGACCTGTTTTTGCTTAGTTACATATCTTCAGCATCTGGCCCAACGTCTGTTATGTGAAAGGTGCACAGTCAGTCAATAATAAAAAATGCAGACTTTTCTGGTGGACCAGTGGTTAAGAATCTGCCTGCCAATGCAGGGGAACCCTGGTTCAATCCCTGGTGCAGAAGATTCTACATGCCACAGAGCAACTTAGCCTGTGTGCCACAACTACTGAAGCCTTCACACCTAGAGGCTGCGCTCTGCAACAAGAGAAGCCACCGAAATGAGAAGCACCACAGCTAGAGAAAGCCCGTGTGCAGGGATGAAGACCTAGCATAGCCAAAGAGTAAAATAATAATAATAAATGCAAGACTTTTTTTTAAAGGCCTTTTTTACTAGAGTGTTGGAAGGGTTAAATAGGATAATATATATAAAGAACCCAGCAATAGTGCCTGAAACATACCAGATTGTTAATGAATTCCCAGTCTTTCCTTAGGGCGTGTTAGTCTTCTCTAGGGGTCTGGATATAAGCTGCCCCCCGGCCCTGGGCTGAGTTACATTCCTGTCCTTCACCAGTTCTACTGTCTCTTGCCCTCTGGCTTTTGCCTCATGTACTTCTATTTCTGGCTCCGGGATTCTTTCCTTGGTCTCAGATCCTTAGGAATGTCTTCACTCTTCCTACAGACTTTTCTTCTAGAATGTTCCATCTTTTTGAAGCATGCTATTCTCAAACCATGTAGCCTTAGGGTGACACTCGTTTAATCTGTCACCAGGGCTTAGCTCCACCAGGGTCATCTATGTGATGGCAGTTGCATCTTATTTTATGGCCTCCTCCTCCAGGGACAGCAGGCACCTTCTCTTCTGCTTTAGCAGGAGAAGCGGTAGGATTGGAGAAGAGCTCCTCCTGAGAGCAATGAGCAGAGGCTTGGGAACTGAACCCGTGTGATTCTGAGGCAGGAGGGATCAAAGCCCAGCCTGGAGGCTGCTCAGCCTCGACACAGACCCAGCTGGTGCATAGCCGAAAAGGAGGGGGATTAGTAAAACTGGGGGTCATCAAACTGTCACCTATGAGCCAGATCCAGCCTGCCTCCCATTCTTCCGTGAGAAGAAGAATGGATTTCGCCTTTTTTTTTTTTCATTTATTTTTATTAGTTGGAGGCTAATTACTTTACATCATTGCAGTGGTTTTTGTCATACATTGAAATGAATTAGCCATGGATTTACATGTATTCCCCATCCCGGTCCCCCCCCCCCCCACCTCCCTCTCCGCCCGATCCCTCTGGGTCTTCCCAGTGCACCAGGCCCGAGCACTTGTCTCATGCACCCAACCTGGGCTGGTGATCTGTTTCACCCTAGATAATATACGTGTTTCGATGCTGTTCTCTTGAAACATCCCACCCTCGCCTTCTCCCAGAGTCCACAAGTCTGTTCTATACATCGGAGTCTCTTTTTCTGTTTTGCATATAGGGTTATCGTTACCATCTTTCTAAATTCCATATATATGTGTTAGTATACTGTAATGGTCTTTATCTTTCTGGCTTACTTCGCTCTGTATAATGGGCTCCAGTTTCATCCATGTCATTAGAACTGATTCTGGGCATACACACCGAGGAAACCAGATCTGAAAGATTTCGCCTTTTTAAATGGTTGGCGGGAAAAAAATCAAAAGAAGGATATTTTGTGATGCATAAAAAGTATATGAAACTCAAATTTCAGTGTCCATAAAGAAATTCTTATTGGAACACAGATGTGCTGTGTTTTATTTACGTCTATGGCTACTTTCACGCCACAGCAGCAGAGTAGGTGGCATCAGAGACCGTAAAGCCAAGGGTGCTTACTGAGCAGCCCTTTCGAGAAGTCAGCCTGAGCTGCGGACAGGGATTTTACCCTGAGCTCATCAAAGCCTCTTCTGTGTTCGGTGCTGCGCAGACTCTGCAAACTCTACTGGGTCCCAGCCCAGGGTACAGCCCCGGCTGTGACAGGGAGAGAATGGGTTAATTAGATGGGTTCATTAGAGAAATCATTCCTGAAGGAGGTGGGAAGGGATGGGCTATGAGAGAACACAACAGTCTGGCTCGAAGGCTGGTTTCACCAAGGAGGTCAGTAGGAGCTTGAACCACTGTCTTACCTTCTCTAAGCAGCCGTTCCCATATTTTAAAATGTGAATAATTATACTCTCAAATACACAGTGATGTGGTGAAGACCAAATAAGCTAACGCCTGCAACAATGCCTGGTATGTAGTAGACACTCAATAAGTACTCACTACTTCTTACCATGCTATTAAAAGCCGCTTGCTCCTTGGTAGAAAAGCTAGGACCAACCTAGACAGCATATTAAAAAGCAGAGACATTACTTTGCCAACAAAGGTCCGTATAGTCAAAGCTATGTTTTTTCCAGTAGCCATGTATGGATGTGAGAGTTGGACCATGAAGAAGGCTGAGCGCCAAAGAATGGATGCTTTTGAACTGTGATGTCGGAGAAGACTCTTGAAGGTCCCTTGAACTACAAGGAGATCCAACCAGTCAATCTTAAAGGAAATCAATCCTGAATATTCATTGGGAGGACTGACGCTGAAGTTGAAACTCCAATACTTTGGCCACCTGATGCAAAGAGCTGACTCATTAGAAAACATCCTGATCCTGGGAAAAAATGAAGGCAGGAGGAGAAGGAGACAACAGAGGATGAGATGCTTGGATGGCATCACCGACTCAATGGACATGAGTTTGAGCAAGCTCCAGGAGATGAAGGACAGGGAAGCCTGGAGTGCTGCAGTCCATGGGTAACAAAGAGTCGAACACGACCGAGCGACTGAACAGCAACAAGAACTCTTACTGTGAGCTTCCTTGGAGGCTCAGTGGTAAAGTATCTGCTTGCCAATGCAGGAAACGTGGGTTCAGTCCCTGGGTCAGGAAGATCTCCTAGAGGAGGGGATGACTACCTACTCCATATGCTTACCTGGGAAATCCCATGGACAGAGGAACCTGGTGGGCTACCGTCCATGAGGTCACAAAAGAGTCAAACACAAGTGAGCAACTGAACATCAACAATAACATTCT